CAATAAACTTGGCATCAAAACATAGTTTATAATTCAGATCTTGATATTATATAAGTTTTAATTTCTTAACTTAAAATGGATATATTTGAATGAATTTTCACTCTTCACTTTTTCACTCTAAACTGCCCATTTTAGATTTTTATTCTACTCGTATATGATCTTCTGAGTTTGGCACAAATTACATATTTATACTCTAGATTTTTGTAAGCCATAATGTAAATTTACAGCCTCCAAGCTTCTTGCTTTACTTAGATATAAACAGGAAGGTCAAAACCATATCCCATGCCCCTCCTATCATTTCCCATCTTTCAAAAAATGTCAACAATTTCTCTAACATATGCTATTGGATTACATATAACCAATAGAAAGAAAAGGTTCTGCTAAATTCTTTACAAGGCTAATTTCTTCATTTACCAGTTTTGGAATTATTTGGTCTGAGTTTCATTATTTACATTTTGCTATCAGCTTGAACAGATAATTGATTTTTTTTACTCATTTATATTTTTGCTAGAAAGCCAGTTAAATTATAATAGATTTAGACATTTTATTTTTTGTGCATGATAATATTTTATAGTCTAAATTGCTTACTTGAAATTTTTATTTTTTATTTTGGAACACCAACTTTGGTGCCTTGTCTTCTGATGGTAAAAAGACAAGAGTCCAAATTTTTTTTGTGTGGGTATGTATTTTCATTTAGTGTTACTAAAGTAACTAAAATGTAAAAATTAGAAACTTATTGTGTTTGATAAGAACATTTAAATGAAAAAATTTTGAAAATGTACTCATGATGCTCCATCATAGCACATCTGGGAGGGATGATTGTAATTCATCTGTGGCAGGTTTTATCCTAATCATTTGTTTACATAAAGCTGTCAGGAACGTCCTAAATTAGGACAGAAACGAGCTCATAAACCAGACAAAATCATAGCAGCAGCCATTTTTACCTCACAATATAAGCGTAACAACGTTAATAAAGTAACAACAAATATATATCAAATCTATAAAGTAACAAGTATACAT